TTCCCTTCCCTCTTCCCTTCCCTCTTCCCTTCCCTTCCCTTCCCTTCTTCCCTTCCCTTTCCTTTTCTTTTCCTTTTTGTTTTATTTCCCTCTCTCCCTCTTTTCCTCCCTTCTTCCCTCCCTTCTTCCTTTGCTTCCTTACTTCCCTCCCTCTGCCCTGCCCCATGTTTCCCTCTGCAGCCAAGACTTACCTGGAACTCATTATCTAGCCAGCCCTGTCTGCAGCTCACCTCCATTGTCCTCTGTCAATCTCTCACATATTAGGATTATAGCTGTGAGCCAGGCTGCCATGTTCAGTGTCTGGTGAGGGAGGGCCTGCCCATCATAGGTGTGTTTCCATGGTGGAATAGGCAGGCAGCTTAGGGGACTCCCACTCATTTTAACCCTCCCCAGAGGCCCGACTTCTTTATGCTGTCAGCCATGATGCGTGAGGTATTAGGTTCCAGCATATGGGGGACACCAGCACTGACTTTGAAAGTCGCTCAGTCAGATGCGTAATGCTTATTGTCAGGAGTCAGACTTTTTTTTTTTAAGTGGACATTGTTCTGATTTTTGAAAATAGAGTGTTATTAATCAATTTATTTATTTTAAAGTAATGACACTCTTAGGATAAAAGATCTTTCTGTCTTTATTTTGTCTTTCCTCCAGACTATCTGCCTTCTAGTGCATCTGAAGTAATACTAGGCCATCACATAGAAACCTCATTTTGTATTCAGTTTTCTCTATAAAAAATTATGGTCCACAGAATACAAACTGTACCTAACTCCTTAACTACTTAAGTGTACAATTCAGTAGTGTTTAAAAATTAGACAAAATGTTGTATAATCCTAAAGCCAAAATTCCATATCCGTTCAGCAACAGCTATTTGTTGCATGCCACCTGTCCCTGTCACCATTCTTCCTTCTGTGTCTGTTTTTGCTGTTTGGATGCCTTGTGTGAGTAGAAGCATGCAAGGTTTGTCTTTTGGCTCCATTATGGCATAATGCCTTTGAGGTTCATCCATCTTGTAATCTGTATCAGGATTTGTTCTTTTTAAAGGCTGAGTAATATTCCATATGAGAAAAGCAGGTTTTGTGAGTCCATTCGTCTGCCAGTGGATACTTGGATTGCATCTACTTTGGGGCTGTCATGAATTTATTTTCATTTTCAAATGGGACATTTTGCTCTATTTCAGGGCAAGAAGTTGCCATATCACCTCGGGGATGATGCAGAGGAAGGGGAAGTGTCCGATGAGGACAGTGCAGATGAGATTGAAGACGAGTGCAAGCTCAAACTGCATTACGTGAGTTACTGGCTCCCCACCATCTCTGTCCCTTACACACTGCAGAAAGAATGGGGCGCCACACTGGTGCTGTGTTAAGCTTTCCACACATGTGATGTCTGTAGTGCAAAAGGATGCTATTTTAAAACTACTCTGTGCTTGCACCCAGCAGTTGGTGTGGTATGTGAGTAGTGGATTCTATGCTTTAGAACTGGGAGGCATTTTAGCAATGAATCCTTCTGTCTGAGTTAGAATTTCTATCATGTGACCATAGCAACTTTTACAAAAGGGAAGATTTAACTGGGACTGGCTTATAGTTCAGAGGCTTAGTCCATTATCACCATGGCAAGAAGCAAGGTGACATGCTGCCAGACATAGTGCTGGAGAGGTAGCTGAGAGTTCTACACCTGGGTCTACCGGAAGCAGGAAGAGAGGGACATTGGACGTGGATTGAGTATTTGAAACCTCAAAGCCTATCCCACAGTGACATTGTCCCTCCAATGGAAATCCAAACCGTGGTTGGATTGTCAGTCTTCTTGATAAACATGAGAAGGTGAGACCTTGCCACTCCTGCCAAATAAATACTGACTTTCCATTGTGGTACTTTAGGCTGGCTCCAGGCCCCAGCTACACCTGGGTCTGCTTTTTAAAGTGTCAAACTCTTCACCAAGAAAGAACACCTTGGTCTATATGATTCCCAAGCCCTTCCAAAATTGAGACATTTGGCTGAAGGTTCCATCAGTCACATCCTAAGTAGAACGATCCGCCCAGGGCTCTGGACCTTTTCTTACATAAAGGGTCAGCGTGTGCATTTTACCTTGTGGTCTAGGGAACTTCAATTTGAACCTGAAGAATTCTAAGATTTGAAGAAATTATGTCCCTTTCACCATCAGTAGTCACATGATTTTCACCATCAGTAGTCACATGATTTTCACCATCAGTAGTCACATGATTTTCA